CCCAAAGCCAGGAGCTTCTTCCAGGTCTCCCACACCAGTGCAGGGACCCAAGTACTTGAGCCACTTCTGCTTTCCCAGGCCATAAGCAGAGAGCTGGATTGGAACAGGAGCAGCTAAGATAGGAACCAGCACCCATATGGGATCTGATGCTATAGGTGGAGGTTTAGCCTACTACACCACAGTGCTAGCCCTTCCTCACGTATATTTTTGTGGCAGTAGCACTTTTTTCCCCCCCAAAAAAGCTTCTATTACATTGATAAAATATCTTGAATTCTCTAGCATATCAAACAAAATTGAAGAAGTCTATTATACTATGTTGCAAGGTAACTAAGGCACTTGAGGGAGAAAAAATGCTTCCAACTGTCAGGCATGTATTCTAAGCCTACTCCACTGTCATGTTTTAAAATGTGCACTTTAGAGGCCGGCGCCGCGGCTCACTAGGCTAATCCTCCGCCTAGCGGCGCCGGCACACCGGGTTCTAGTCCCGGTCGGGGCGCCGGATTCTGTCCCGGTTGCCCCTCTTCCAGGCCAGCCCTCTGCTGTGGCCAGGGAGTGCAGTGGAGGATGGCCCAGGTGCTTGGGCCCTGCACCCCATGGGAGACCAGGAAAAGCACCTGGCTCCTGGCTCCTGCCATCGGATCAGCGCGGTGAGCCGGCCGCAGCGCGCCGGCCGCGGCGGCCATTGGAGGGTGAACCAACGGCAAAAGGAAGACCTTTCTCTCTGTCTCTCTCTCTCACTGTCCACTCTGCCTGTAAAAAAAAAAAAAAACAAAAACAAAAAACAAAAAACAAAAAAAAAAATGTGCACTTTAGAATCAAGACTTGATATTAAAGATTAGATTTAACAGGAAAATCACATTTCACAATGTGTAGCAAATGTGCCCCTGCATTGTTACGAAGGATCATGTTGGGGACTAGCATTGTGGCATGACACATAAAGTTGCTCCTTAGGATACTGCATCCCACATGGTAGTAGTGCCTGGTTCGTGTGCTGGTTATCAAGCTTCCTGCTCATGCTCCATCTAGTACTTGGGTTCCTGCCACTCATATGTGGGAGACCCAGATCGAGTTACCGACTCCTGGCTTTCACCTGGCACAGCCCCAACGGTTGGCAACCATTTGGGGAGTGAAACAATGAATGAAAGGTCCCTCTCCATCTCTCCCTCTCTGTCTCTCTCCCTTTGAAATAAATAAATCTTTATAAAGAAAAAGTCACAGTGGTATAACAAACCTAAAGATTTCTAAACAAATTCAAATGAAAATTTTTATTGCTGATCACTTAAGTTAGAATAATTATTGAAAGGCTAAGCATAGCATTTAAAATCCTGAAGTAGCTAACAAGCTTGGAAAAAACATGTGTTTTCCCTGTACTACCCAGCAAGTAACAGAGGGACCCAGGCAAGATAGGTTTGTTGTACAGTGATTTATTCCGTTAGTTCCCTTTTGTTTTTTTTGTTTGTTTTGTTTTGTTTTGTTTTTTGACAGGCAGAGTGGACAGTGAGAGAGAGACAGAGAGAAAGGTCTTCCTTTGCCGTTGGTTCACCCTCCAATGGCCGCCGCGGCTGGCGCGCTGCGGCCAGCGCACCACGCTGATCCGATGGCAGGAGCCAGGTACTTATCCTGGTCTCCCACGGGGTGCAGGGCCCAAGCACTTGGGCCATCCTCCACTGCACTCCCGGGCCACAGCAGAGAGCTGGCCTGGAAGAGGGGCAACCGGGACAGAATCCGGCGCCCCGACCGGGACTAGAACCCGGTGTGCCGGCGCCGCAAGGCGGAGGATTAGCCTAGTGAGCTGCGGCGCCAGCCCCCTTTTGTTCTTACGGTATATGTTGTTCCTAATATTTCAGTGTCCTGATAGTTGTTGACATAATATCATGCTTGTTTCTTAGCCTCTAGAATTTCATTTTACTGTCTTGGGTAAATTGCCAAATTGCTATATGTTTGTATTGTTTTAATAATCATGAAAATAAAATTTCTTCCCTCTAGCCTTGAGGAATTGTTAAAATACTTCTAAATTTAGAACTTCACCTTCAGTGAGATAATTTTGAGTTGCGAGTTAGCATATATTGCCAACAGTTATCATTTAATTGCTTGTCTTGGGGAAATTTAGTTTATTTCTATTTTCTAGAGGTCACTTTGCTTCTTTCTGGAACATAAACAAAAGATATATGATCTTCTGTAGCTTTGCTTTTGTGCTGCTGATCAGTCAGTGCTTATGGAAAGGAGGAACATAACATTAAATACTGTTCTTATAATATTAACTAATGCTTAAGATATTTCTGACATTGGCTTTTGTGGTGCTATTCAAATTTATCTTTGTGACCTTCTACTATTTTGTGGGTTTTTACCATAAATAGTAGTTGAGGCTCCATTTATAAGTGTTTATTTTCTTAGCTTTCACTTCATTTGGGGTTCATTTACATTGATTGCAGCTATCTCTAGTGAAATTTTCAGAAATGTATTTTTAGTTCTCATATTATAGTACTTACGGAAAAAAACCAACCAGCTGATCTTTTTCTCATAGTCTGACTTCCCTGCTCAAAATATGATATTTTCTAATAAACTTTTAGTTCCCTCTCCCTCTCTGTAACTCTGCCTTTCAACTAAATAAATAAATCTTTATCTTTGATTTATTTGTTAAGTTGAAAGAGTTAGATCATCGATCTGATCACTGGTTCACTGCCCAAGTGACTGCAGTGGCCAGAGCTGGGCCAGGCCAAAGCCAGGAACCAGGAGCTTCTTCTGAGTTTCCCACATGGGTGCAGGGACCCAAGCACTTGGGCCATCTTCCACTGCTTTCCCAGGTGCATTAGCAGGGAGCTGGATCGGAAGTGGAACAGCTAAGACTTCAACCTGCACACATATGGGATGTTGGCATTGCAGGCAGGGGCTTTACCCACTACACCACAACACTGGCCCTATTAGATAGTTTTAAGAACCAAAGACGCTTTTTGTAATCTTGAATTTGTTTCTCTCAGAGGTATTGCTTTTTATAGTCTTTTGTCTGATTTTCTTCTGGTTGATAATATCTGTTGACTTTAAGGTGCCCTATTTCCCTCACTTCATACACATAGACATGTTCCCTTTTCCCTTCTATAATACAATAAAAGTTTTTTCTAACATATTGTTCAATACAAATGTTTGTGACAATGTAGTTATTCGAGATTAGGGCACTGGTTCTGAAAAGTGTGGCCCAGAAACCCAAAAAACGTTCCCACAATTCTTTCAAGGGTTCAAAAGATCTAACATATTTTCATTAGAGTATGTTATATGTGCTTTTCACTCTCATTCTTTCATAAATCTACAGTGTAGCCTTCCAATAGCTATGTGACATAATGATATCAACGCACTGATGGCCAATGAAATGTGTGCTTGTGCGTTCTTATGTGTCTACAGTTTTCTAAGCTTAGAACACTTCAAGATGTGAAGTGAATGCAGAAGCAGATAGGAAAATACAACTTTGTTCTATGAAACTGCATATTAAAGAGCTTAGCAAACATGTAAAATAATACCTCTCATGAAATATATTTTGGAAAGGAGTTACTTTCATTAAAAAGTTACGTATTTTAGTAATGCCCATAAATATTGGGTTTATTGTCCTTTTTTCAGTAGATTCCACCATATTTTACAATATCATTTATTAGAAATTGCTTAGTATCAGCACTTAAAATTTATTATGCTTTAATTTATTTTGAAATTGGAAAGAACTGTTTTTCCTAATATCTTTCATTTGACGGGCTGTGATATAAGAAGTATGTTTGTCTGTTTTCTGTTGCTATAACAAAATACTCAAGCTGCGCACTTTAAAAAGGGTTTATTTAGCTCACAGTTTTGGGAAGTTCAAAATTATGACACCACCACCACCCTCCCCCAGGGCAGGTGTTGTGGTACACTTTAGAGCTTACCAAGTGGCGGCCAGCACCGTGGCTCAATAGGCTAATCCTCCTCCTGCGGCACCGGCACACCGGGTTCTAGTCCCGGTCGGGGCACCGGATTCTGTCCCAGCTGCCCCTCTTCCAGGCCAGCTCTCTGCTGTGGCCAGGGAGTGCAGTGGAGGATGGCCCAAGTGCTTGGGCCCTGCACCCGCATGGGAGACCAGGAGAAGCACCTGGCTCCTGGCTTCGGATCAGCGCGGTATGCTGGCTGCAGCGGCCATTGGAGGGTGAACTAACAGTAAAGGAAGACCTTTCTCTCTGTCTCTCTCTCACTGTCTAACTCTGCCTGTCAAAAATAAAAATAAAAAAAAAAAGTTTACCAAGTGGCTTAGCATGTATTATTTCGTTTCCTCCTAGTGATGTCCCTATGAGTTAGTTAACTCTCCATACTTATAGGTGCCTAATTCAGACTTTCAGATGGTAACTGACTTCTACAAGAATGTATATAGGTTAGACTCAAATTAGGTGTTCTGACTTCTAACCCTGTACTGTATAAAAGCCCGATATTCCTTAATAATTCAGAGGCATTCACATTCTGCTGTGCATTTTAGTGTTCGGAGGGTGTAACAGTATCTAGTATAAAGGCTTTGACCAACATAAAGTACATAGTTCAACCACATCACTAGAAGAAATAAGAATTCTTATTCTGGTTATGGATCATTTGAACTTTGGGAGAGGTTAGACTCAAGTTTGGATGGATATACATAATGGGCTGGAAGAATTTTTCTTATATCAATTATTAAAAAACCTTCAAATAGTTTGTTTTACTGTTCTTAATCATTATAGTCTTTTATTGTAACAGTGAAAATACATTCAGAACATTCAATAAACATTAAAGTAAATTCCTTTACCCATACATATTATTAATTGTGTAGTTAGATGCTGCAGAAATTACATTATATGAGGAATTCACCCACAAATACTGATTTAAAGATTCAGACAAAAAATTCAGACAGCAAACAGGAATAATACCAGCACAGCGAACTTTCAGCCATCACTTACGAGTCTCTGAGTTAATTGTTTTTAATTTGGGTATTCATTTTTTTTTCTTCCATCTCCCTATAGGTTTGTAAAAGAATGGACTTGGTCTGCCAGAGAATGTTGAATCAGGGATTTCTGAAAGTGGAGAGGTATCATAATCTATGTCAGAAACAAGTTAAAGCACAACTTCCAAGGTATATTGTGGCCAATTTAGTAAGGGGTTTTATTTCTTTGCTGATTTTTTTTTTCATTGTCAAGGTTTACCTGATAATGATTGCCACATTTTTTGTAGCAAAGGATTCATAGATCACAAATAACTGTGATTTGTGCACTCTCTCCATTTCTAGTCCACATTTTACTAGATTCTAGCCAGGGCAGTTAGGCAAGAAAATGAAGTTAAAGACATCCAGATGGGAAAAGAAGAAGAAAAACTGTTTCCAGATGACTTGATCTTGTATACAATACACTTGTATACACTTGTGTACAATACACTAATTAATTATTAGAGCTTATTCATTAACAGGTTTAGCAACCTGTAGTGCTGGCATCCGAGTGCCAGTTCAAGTCCTGGCTGTTCCACTTCCAATCCAGCTCCCTACTGATGTACCTGGGAAAGCTGCAAAAGATGACCCAAGTGCTTGGGCCCTTGCACCAATTTGGGAGACCTGGATGACCAACTCCTGGCTTGAGCCTGGCCGAGCCTGGGCTGTTGGGGCCATTTGGGGAGTGAACCAGCAGACAGAAGATCTCTCTGTCTCTCCTTCTCTCTGTAAATCTGCCCTTCAAATAAGTAAGCCTTTTTAAAAACTAAATAAAAAGGAACATGCTACAAAATGACCTTTGAGAACTATGCTAAGTGGAAGAAGCGAGACACAAAAGGCCATGTGCTGTGTGATTCCGTTAATCAGAAATGTTCCAAAAAAGGCAAATTCATAAAGACAAAATAGATTAGTAGTTGCTAGGGGCTGAAACAACTCGGGGGAGAGGTGGGATTTATAGTTACAGCTTTGCTTTCTGTGTTGATGAAAATGTTCTGATATTAAATAATGCTGATACCTATAAACCTCTGTGAATGTACTGAACACCACTAAATTGTATACCTTATATTTGAATTCTTAATGAAACTTTAAAAAGTTTAAAGGAACTAAATTTTATGAGCAAAAACAGTCTCACTGTATATTCATGTTAAATTGTTTCATCTAATTTCTCTAATAGTCATTAGAGTTGATTTAGCCCACCCCCCAAAAAAATCTTTAAAATAAAGTGTTTTTTTCAACTGTTCTATCAGCAAATACTAGTCCTTTGCAAAGATTTCTGGGCATAGTAATTCATTCATCCTTGCAGTTGAATTCTGATCTAATTAGAGATTTCTGTATTAATATCTAAAACGTAGACTATTTCATTGGGCATTTGATTACTTAACATTTTAGCCCTCAGTGTTTTTTTTTTTAATTGTTTTAATTGTGTTTTATTGTTATTACCATTATAGGAGAGAATCAGAAAGGAGAAATCACTCATTAGCTCGTCATGCAGACATCCTTGCTGCTGTTGAAACACGGCTGTCGCTGTTAAATATGACTTTCATGAAGTATGTGGATTCCAATCTCTGTTGCTTCATCCCAGGAAAGGTAAAATAGAGTTGCATACCTAGAAGAGCTGGATTGCCTTGTGTAGACTTTAAATCAAAGTTTTGACATGTCTGTATTCTTCTCTGAATGAGCTTCTGTGAATGAGTTTGCTTATTAGCTTCTGCTTTTTAGAGGGGCTTGTTATAAAAATTCATATTCAGGGACCGGCACTGAGGCATTGTAGGTTAAGCCTCTGCCTGCAGAGTCAGCATCCCATACAGGCATCAGGTTGTGTCCCAGTTGCTCCTCTTCTTTTTTTTTTAATTTTTTTTATTTTTTTGACAGGCAGACTGGACAGTGAGAGAGAGACAGAGAGAAAGGTCTTCCTTTGCCGTTGTTCACCCTCCAATGGCCACCGCAGCTGGCGCGCTGCGGCCGGTGCACCGCGCTGATCCGAGATCCGATGGCAGGAGCCAGGTACTTCTCCTGGTCTCCCATGGGGTGCAGGGCCCAAGCACTTGGGCCATCCTCCACTGCACTCCCTGGCCACAGCAGAGAGCTGGCCTGGAAGAGGGGCAACCGGGACAGAATCCGGTGCCCCGACCAGGACTAGAACCCGGTGTGCCGGCGCCGCAGGTGGAGGATTAGCCTAGTGAGCCGCGGCACCGGCCTCCCAGCTGCTCCTCTTCTGATCAGCTCTCTGCTAATGTGCCTGGAAAAGCAGTGGTGCTTGGGCCCCGCACCCATGTGAGAGACCCAGATGAAGCTCCTGGCTCCTGTCTTCAGCCTGGACCAGCCCTGGCTGTTACGGCTATCTGGGGAGTGAACCAGAGGATGGAAGATCTCTTTCTCTCTGTCTCTCTGTCTCTCTGCCTCTCTTTCTCTCTCCTCTCTCCTTCTCTTTATGTATCTCTGCCTTTCAAAATAAATAAATCTTTTTAAAAAGTATACTCAAGAATAAAACTTGTGAGCTTTTACTGTTAAGATGCTAAAGATTGAGCAATGAATGAGATAAAGATGGCCCCTTTCTAATGTTCAGAGTGCTTTCATACTCTGGACCCCCATTCACTTTCCATCATAGCAGTGTATGGTAGGTAGAACAAGTATCGCTGTTCCTATTTCACTGATAAGAAAACAGGCCTAGAGAACTAACTTGACTTAATGAAAACTATACTGTGGTCTTGATTTCTCAGTTGCCTTCTCTACTGTTCTTTTCTATTTTTCCTTCTTAGTATCATTTCTTTGAATTTACTCTTAATTTCTTTTTCTCCTGAAAATTTGCACTTCATTGGAAATTAAAAAATAATAGTTTTCATTTTTATTCTTATGAGTTCTGTCATACTTAGTTCAGCTTAGATTATTTCTTTATAATGCCACTTTTACCTTATATTTTACCTAAAAACAACATTGTATACACTCAGTATTACTTTTTATTTTTATGTTGCTGGTACTTTTTTTCTTTCTGAAACTAAAATTAAACTGCTGATTTATCACAGCTCGCAGTATTTGGGTTGTTTTATGGCTGTTTTATACTTAAACTTTTCACATCCTATCTTCAAAACAGAAGAATGCTGGTATTTCATTTCCTCCTGCTGAAGTAAGACATTAAAAAACAACAGTTTTCTTTCTCTAGCACATAAGCGGATTTGGTGTATGGTTTCTATGGTAGGTTATGTTGCTTATGTCGCTTATGTTGCTTTCCCTGCACCTAGGCTATGCTTACAAGTTGGGGAGCTTTTATACTTTGTAAGAGAACTAACTTTTATAATCTTTTTTTTTTTTTTTTTTTTTTTTTTTGATAGGCAGAGTGATACAGCAGAGTAGAGCAATGAGAGAGAGAGAGACAGAGAGAAAGGTCTTCCTTCCGTTGGTTCACCCCCTCAAATGGTTGCTACGGCCGGCGTGCTGCACCGATCCAAAGCCAGGAGCCAGGTGCTTCCTCCTGGTCTCCCATGGGGTGCAGGGCCCAAGCACTTGGGCCATCCTCCACTGCACTCCCTGGCCACAGCAGAGAGCTGGCCTGGAAGAGGGGCAACCGGGACAGAATCCGGTGCCCCAACCGGGACTAGAACCCTGTGTGCCGGCACCGCAGGCGGAGGATTAGCAAAGTGAGTCGCGGCACCGGCCACTTTTATAGTCTTGTATAGAATATGTCTGGTTTTAAAAATTCAGATCTGTGGTCAGCATTTTTTTAAGATTTATTTATTTATTTATTTATTTATTTGAAAGGCAGAGTTAGAGAGAGGGAGAAAGAAAGAGATCGATCTTCCATCTACTAGTTCATTCCCCAAATGACCTGGGCTGGTCTGAAGTCAGGAGCCAGCAGCTTCTTCTGGGTCTCCCACATGGGTGCAGGGACCCAGATCTCTCTGTCTCTCCCTCTCTCTCCGTAACTCTGCATTTCAAATTAAAAAAAAAAAAAATCTTTTAAAAAAGAAAGACCCATAAGAATGATGAGACCAAGGAGAAAAGTCAGGAACAATATATTTTGAATACTGGAAAATAGAGAAAGAAATGGTAACTCTTTTAGAAGAACTAAGACAGTTAAATCCTAAACTGACAGTGGGGAGAGCTGAGAGGTAACCCAGTGTACGCACTTGAACCTCTAGAACGCTGTAAATTGAGAGCCCAAGGCACCTCTGAAAGTGGGACTGAAAACAGGAGGGTTGTTTGAAAGTCTGTATTTGAGAATGACTTAAACCTAAAGGTCCTCTCTAATTACTAACAATCTAGATTATTGCCCTTCTCAGCAGTAGAGCTAAAGGGTTAGTTACTAGAGGAGTTAAAAGTTGAGTGTCTTTCTCTTTTTTCTTTTTTAAGGTTTACTTTATTTATTTGAAAGGCAGACAAAGATCCTCCATCTGTCTGCTGCTTCATTCCCCAAATATCCACAAACAGCCAGAGAGTGGGCCAGGCCAAACCCAAGAACCTGGAACTCCATCCAGGTCTGCCATATGGGTGGCAGGGCCTCAAGTACTTGGGTCATCTCTCACTGCTTTCCCAAGCACATTAGCAGGAAGCTGGATCAGAAATGGAGCAACCTGGACTTGAACTGTAACTCATTTGGGATGTTGTCATTGTAGTGGTTAAGCCACCATGCCACAATGCTAGCCCTAATGTGGAGTCTCTTGAAAGAGGACCGTACTGATGACAAGGGTGTTTAAAGAAAATCTGTCTAAAGAATTCAGACTAGTTGGGAGTTTATCACTATAATCTAGGGGCAGGATCAGCTAACTTTTTCTGTAAAAGGCCATACAGTAAATGCTTTCAGCTTTGTGGGCCATATAGCCTCAGTCACAACTATGAAAAATAGCCATAGACAGCATGTGGTAAATGAGTGTTCCAGTAACAGACATAGTCAGGCATTTGAACTTGCAGTTAAAACCTATGCTTGGGTCACCCATATCCTTTATCCCAGTACCTGGTTTTAAGTGCCAGTTCTGCTCCCAATTCCAGCTTCCTGCTAATACACATGCTGGCAGGCACCAAGTGATGATTCAACTTCTTGGGTCCCTGCCACCCACTTGGGAAACCCAGAATGAGTTCCTGGCCCCTGTCTAAAAGTCTGACCCAGCCCTAGCTGTTGCAGACATTTAGGGAGTGAACCAGCCAGTAGGGGAGGAGTGTGCTTTTGAATTCTCTCTCTCTAGAAATAAATAAATGAATTAAAATGTTAAAGATTGTTGGCTCACTTGTGTCTACATATCTCATATCTTCCATCTGACATATATGGTATTTGCACCTTTTGCAATAAGCTCATGTTAGTATCAGCACTTCACATACAATGAAGCACATCTACATGTGAGCAGTAGGCAAGTAACCATTCTGGAAAATAAAAGAATGACAGCAGTCTTGGATAATCCCTGCTCTTGATCATGACCCTTTTGTTCTTACTGAGAAGTTAGTTTTTGCAGTGCTAATGATTGTGTAGTTATAAAGCTGGATTTCCCTGAACAGTTTCTTTTTAATGTTTTGGCAAAGAGTACTAGTGGGGTTGCATTTTTTTTTGGTTGAGACCCAGCAATTATTTGCCTTTTGTTTCTTTGCTTTTATTCTCTTTGTGTATTTCTCTTCCTGAGCCATTTGAAAGCAAATGGAAGACATCGTGACCCTTGATTCCTAATTATTTCAGTGTATTTCTTAAAAGCTAGAATACTCTTACTTAACTAACATGCAAATAGCAAAATCAGTAAGTTTAGCGTTTCTGTAATATTCTTTATCTAATCAATAGATCACATTCAAATTTCATCACATATCCCAATTATACTCTTCCTAGCAATTTTTTTCTCAGTCCAGAATTTACCTAAGACCATGCATGGATACCCCAATCCTCTTTAATCTGTAACAAATCCTGAGGTTCCTTGTATGTCTTTTTCTTTGTTTCTCTTTTTTTTTTTTTTTTTTTCTCTTTCTTTTTTTTCTTTTTCCTTGAGAGACCAAGAGAGTGAGAGAAAGCTCCCAAATGCTTGGGTTGAGGTTGAGGCAAGGAGCCAGGAACTCAATATAGGTCTTCCTGTGTGTGGCAAGAATGCAATTACTTGTCCCTTCACTGCTGCCTTGCAGGGTCTGCATCAGCAGGAAGCTGAAATCAGGAGCCAGAGCAAGGAATCAAACCCAGAAACTCTGATAGGAGATGTGGGTATCTTAACCACTAAGCTACATTCCTGTCCTTTTGTGTCCTTTAATCTTCACATTTCTTTAAGAGTATACGTTGGGGATGGCCTTGTGGCTCACCAGGTTAAACCACTACCTTGACACTGGCATCCCATGTGGGCACTGGTTCAAGTCCTGGCTGCTCCATTTCCAATCCAGCTCACTGCTAATGTACCTGGAAAAGCAGTGGATCATGGCCCAAGTACTTGAGCCCCTGTTATCACATGGGAGACCTGGATGGAGTTCCAGGCTCCTGACTTTGACCTGGCCCAGCCATGGCTTTGTTGCCATTTGAGGAGTGAACTAGTGGATCGAAGACTTCTTTCTTTCTCTCCCTCCCTCTCTCTCACTCTGCCTTTCAAATAGAAAAAAACAGATCTTTTTTAAAATTACAATAACATAGGTCAGTAATTTGTCAGGATGTCTTTCAATTTAAGTTTATCTAATGTTTCCACAATATTTTCTTTTAAAATTGATTTTAATCTGAGTTTACTTTTGTTTAAAAAATTATTTTTATTTATTTGAAAGACAGAGTTACAGAGAGAGATAGAGCCAGAGAGAGAAGTCTTCCATCCGCTGGTTCACTCTCCAAATGACCACAATGGCCAGAGCTGAGCTGATCCAAAGCCAGGAGCCAGGAGCTTCTTCCAGGTCTCCCACGTGGGTGCAGGAGCCCAAGGACTTGGGCCATCTTCTGTTTTCCCAGGCCATTGCAGAGAGCTGGATCGGAAGAGGAGCAGCCGGGTCTCGAACTGGCGCGCCCATATGGGATGCCAGCACTGCAGGCTGGGGCTTTAACCGGCTTTGTCACAGTGCTAGCCCCGTGAGGGTACTCTGAAAAATCAAGATTAGTTGGGAACATTTCTTCCTTTTACTATGCAGAATAAATATATACAGCCATGAACCTTTAAAATGAAAAAAGAATTAGTCTGTTTTCTTATTGAGTTATTATTAGGTCCACCCTGTCCATCCCCAGTCATCTAAGATAACAGGAGTTCTGATCATCAGATCTCTATGTGCTTTATTCTTTTTTTTAATTTTTTTTTAATTTTTTATTTGACAGGTAGAGTTAGAGACAGTGAGAGAGAGAAACAGAGAGAAAGATCTTCCTTTCATTGGTTCACTCCCCAAATGGCCACTACAGCCGGCACTGCACCGATCCAGAGCCAGGAGCCAGGTGCTTCTTCCTGGTCTCCCATGTGGGTGCAGGGGCCCAAACACTTGGGCAATTCTCCACTGCCCTCCCAGGCCACAGCAGAGAGCTGGATTGGAAGAGGAACAACTGGGACTAGAACCCAGCACTCATATGGGATGCCGGTGTGGGCAGCAGCGGCCATTTGGGGGGTGAACCAACGGAAAAGGAAGACCTTTCTCTCTTTCTCTCTCTCACTGTCTAACTCTGCCTGTCCAAAAAAAAAAAAGTCAAATGCACTTCAAATTTTTAAATATGGGAGAAACTTAAAAAAAGGTGGAAAGCCAATGTCAATGTCATGGCATCCCATATCAGAGTGCTGGTTCAGTTCCTGACTGCTCCACTTCTGATCCACCTTCCTGCTAATGCACCTGGGAAGGCAGTGGAAGATGGCCCAAGTACTTCAGACCCTGCCAGGAGAGTAGGGTGGAATTATTGGATCCTGGCTCTAGCCTGGCCTAGCCTTAGCCATTGAGGCCATTTGGGGAATGAACCAACAGCTGGAAGATATCTCAGTCTGTTTCACTCTGCCTTTCAAATAAATCGTTTTGAAATTTTCCTTTTTTTTTTTTTTCTTTTTTTTTTTAGGTAAAAGGGCAAGTTAAGGAAATCTCAAGTAGAACAAGGAGACAAAGATGGCAAAACAAGGGGTAGGTGTTTGGCCTAGGAGTTAAGAGGCTAAACACAACAGACAGATCCTATATTGGAGTGCTTGAGTCTGAATTCTGACTCTACTCCAAATTCCAGGTTCCTACTAATGCACGCTCTGGGAGACAGTAGGTGATGGTTAAAATGGATAAATCTCTGCCCCTTGAGCTTGGGCTGTGTTCTCAGCTTTGGCCTGGTCCAGCCTAAGCTATTGCAGGCATTTGGGAAATGAATCAGCAGGTGGGAGCTCAGTTTGTCTCTGTTTCTCTTCCTTTGCCTCTGAACTATAAATAAATAAGAAATATGGGACATAAGGACATGTCTGAGGTTCAGTATTCTAATAGCTTTGTTTGCTGAAGTGATTTGCAGAAAATTGTCAAAGCTACTCGGAAAATACACTATTATGAAAATTTAGTAAACAGGATATCTGAGGAAACAGAAAGATACCATTACCTTCATGTGTATTTAGAAGACTAAATACAGTAAAGCTGAGACTACTTCATAAATTAGTTCATAGATGGAATTCTTCATATCAGCAGTCCTTGTGGGATACTTGGATATGAAATTCATTCTGAAAGAATAAGAGTTATAGAAAAGGATTAATTGTATTAATACATGTTTTTTAAAACATACTTAGAATAAATTTCTATTAGGTGAGAATGCTGCAAAATGTTGGTTGCTTGCCCCTCACCTGTCCATCCACATCATTCATCTGCTCAGTGTCACTCCTCTCTAGCTGGCCATACCCTCCTGCTCTCACTTCCCGTAACGGTTGAAATTCTCATTCCATCATTGTGTCTTTATTTAGACCTACCTGTTTCCCTCAAACAGATCTTATCTCCACCTTATTTTTACACAAATAATTTGCTTGTACATTGGACTTATTACAGCATGAGTTAACACTTTCAGTTTATGGGTAGTCCACTGGGTAGGATCTGTATCTTACTCATTCCTAATCTATTACAGTAGTCATAAAACTGGATGAATTAGTCATCTTTTTTTTTAACTATGATACCCAAGGCAACTAACTTTATAAAGAGAAAAAGTTTATTTATCTCACAATTCCAGAGGTCCCAGCCCAAGATCAGACAGGCCCATTAGTTTGGCCTCTGATGATAGTGTTCTTGCTGTGGAGTCCTGAGACCTCACAGAGCATCATGTGGCAAGAGACAGCATGCTTGACTATCAGTGTCTCCTTATAAAGCCACCGGATTCAGCCTTTGGGACTCTACCTTAATGATCTAATCTAACAACTTTCCAAAAGTCCTGCCTCTAAATGCCATAATTGGGTTAAGTTTTGGAGCTGGTGCTGTGGCGTACTGGGTAAGGCCACCGCTTAACAATGCTGGGATGGCATCCCATATGTGTGTCAGTTTGAGTCCTGGCTGCTCTACTTCTGATCTAGCTCTCTCTTATGGCCTGGGAAAGCAGTAAAAGATGGCCCAAGTCCTTGTGCCCCAGCACCCACATGGGAGATCTGGAAGAAGCTCCTTGTTCCTGGCTTTGGGTCGGCCCAGTTCCAGCCGTTTGCAGCCATTTGGAGAGTGAACCAGTGGATGGAACACCTCTCTCCCTTTCTGCCTCTGCCTCTCTATAACTCTGCCTTTCAAATAAATAAATAAATGTTTTTTTCAAAAAATGGGTTAAGTCTTCACCTCTTGGGACCATTAACTTAAGACTTCAGGGTTTAAACATTGGCATGAGTTTGGGACCCAAATATCTCAAACCATCGCACTATAGATACTTTATTAAGCATCTAAGTATTACATACTATATGTTTCAGAAATCTGTCTCAGTGGAAAACCTGTTAACTGACCTTTGTGTTCACAACATAATGTCTGCTAAAAACCATATTTCTTCTGTATTTAAACATCTAGGGGCTGGCATTGTGGTGTGACAGATTAGGCCACTGCCTACAATGCCAGCATCCCATATGGGCATTGGTTCAAGTCCTGGCCGCTCCACTTCCAATCCAGCTCCCTACTAATGTGCCTGGGAAAGCAGTGGAAGACGGCCCAAGTCTGTGGGCGCCTGCACCCACGTGGGAGACCCAAATGAAGCTCCTGGCTTTGACCTCCCACAGCCCTGGCAGTTGCAGCCATTTGGGGAGTGAACCAGTGGATGGAAGACCTCTCACTCTCTCCCTGTCTCTCTAACTGTACCCTTCAAATAAATAAAATAGATCTTTTTTTAAAAAAAATTAAAAATAATTAAACAAGCATCTATTTAATTTATTTGACAGGCAGAGTGACAGGGAGATACACAAAAAGAGAGTTCTTCCATTGTTAATTCACTCCCCAAATAGCCACAACAGTTAATGCTATTCCAAGCCAAAGCCAGGAGCCCAGAGCTCCATTCAGATCTCCCATATGAATGGCAGGGACCATGCACTTGGGCCATCACCCAGGCACATTAGCAAGGAGCTGGATTATAAGCAGAGCAGCTGGGACTTGAACTGACACTCCAGTATGGGATGCTGGCATCACAAGTGGCAACTTAACCTACTGTGCCGTAATGCCAGTCCCTTACTATTTTCTTAATTTTGTGTAAATACTAAATAATACTACTTCTAGCTTTCATATTTTACTTATTTATTAAGATTGTGTTTATTTGAGAGGTAGAGTTACAGTGAGAGAGAGAAAGAGAGGTGCTCCGTTCTCTAGTTCACTCCCCAAATGACCGCAACAGCCGGAGCTGAGCTGATCAGGAGCCAGGGGCTTCCTCCAGGTTTCCCATGTGGGTACAGGGGCCTCCTTGCTTGGGCCATTTGTACTGCTTTCCCAGGCCATAGCAGAGAGCTGGCTTGGAAAAGGAGCAGCCAGAAGGAGAACCACTGCCCATAGGGGATGCCAACACCACAGGCAGAGGATTAACCTACTTCACCACAGTGCCAGCCCCTGTATTCTATTTCTAGCCCTTGAACAAGCCAAACTGATACTGTCCTTGGTGCCATGGCCATAGCTGTACCCACCAGAATTGCTTTTCTCCCCAGATTGTCAAACGACTGCTTCCTCCTCCTTATTCAGTCTTTCTTAAATTTGTCAGAGGAGCCTTTCTCATCTACCTGTCTTAATGTTAGTCCCTCCTCCCCAATGAAAACTCATACTTCCCTGTATTTTTCTCATGACACTGTCCTATTTTACTGTGTGTTTACTTCAGCTTTGTGAGAATAAGAACCTTACCATCCTTATTTGCTATTTTTTACCCCATTGCTTTGAAAAGGGACAAGTATGTAGTAAGAATTCAGTATTTGAATAATGTTTATCTTATAAGTTAGGATATGCTTACATAATTAATAAAAACCCAAAGAAAATACTTGGGCATGTGTTGGGGCATAGCACGTCAAGCCACTTCATGTGATGCCAGCATCCCATATCAGCACCAGTTTAAGACCCGGCTGCATCACTTCCCCTCCAACACCCTGCTAATGCACCTGGGAAAGCAGCAGAAGATGGCCCAAGTCCTTGGGCCCCTGCGTTCATGTGGAAGACCCAGAGGAAGTTCCAGGTTCCTGGTGTCAGCCTGGCCCCGCCCTGGCCCTTGCAGGCATTTGGGGAGTGGACCAGCAAATGGAAAAATTTCTCTTTCTTTCTCTTTTTCTTTTTTTCTTTCTCTTTCTCTCTCTCTCTCTCTCTCTCTCTCTCTCTCTCTCTAGCTCTGCCTTTCAAATAAATAGATAAATCTTTAAGAAAAAGAAAAATACTCTACTTTTCATTCTTTTTTAAAAGAATACATGCAGTACATTTTTAGGATAGTATTCCAATTAGTTATTGGGGGAAAAGGTTATTTCCTTCCGATGTGAGTTCATAATGTAGTAGTAATGGTCCAGAAATGAATACAAGTATATAATTTACCATTACTGCCTTGGGTTCTGCATTTGCTTCCTTGGCAGTCCTAGTCCCTCTTGTGCTTTTCACTACTGAAGCATCGCCTTCATCTGCAGGTTGTTTCCTGCACTCCTTTATTTATTTGAAAGACAGAGTTACAGAGAGAAATTGAGATGGAGAAATCTCTCATCCACTGGCTCACCCCCAAATGGCCATAACAGCCGGTGCTGGACCAGGCTGAAGCCAAGAGCCTGAAGCTCCATCTGGGTCTCCCTCTTGGGCCAATCTTCCACTTCTTTTCCAGGCACATTAGTAGGGAGCTGGTTTGGAAGTAGAGCAGCCAGGACTCCAACCAGGGCTTATCTGGGATGCTGGCATCACAGGCAGCAGTTTAATCTGCTGTGCCACAATGCTGGCCACTTTCCTGCATTCCTGACCAGTAACTCTCCAGCTGCTTCCTGGCAAGTGACATCTGCATGTCCCGTGTCATTCGGAAGCATCATATCTTAACTGCCTGCAACACATCAGGCTGCCTGTTCTGTGAGTCTCTCGGGCTTACCACAGGGACATATCCTAACAGTTTGATTTTGCTGACAGTTATTAGGCACATACCATGCTAGCCAGAGAGGAATCATCACATTGCTCTGAGTCTAGAAAATAGCAAGGGCCAGGAATTTGGCCTGGTATACTTCTGCCAGATTCAGTGTTCTCTAGCCATGCTCAGTGGCCTGGGCGAAGGAGAAGAGATAGTAGATAATAAGATTGATCCAGAGTTGGACACTGGCTAGACTTTGGAGAGACAGGAAAGGTGGGACTCAAGGTTGCTTGGGATTTTGGTGACACAACATTGAAATAGAAGTTGTTCAGACTGGAATCTTCAGAGTTGTGAATTAGATTCAAATCTGTGCTGAAGCCATGAGAATTATTGAGGATTATCATTAAAAGAAAAAGGGATCTTTTGCTGCTTTTTGATGATGTTAAGGGAAGTGGAATCTGAGGCAATATTATTCCAGGCCATAGCAAGCCACAGAGAAACAAAACTTCCGGGTGGGGTCAGCATGCTGAAGCAGCAGGTGCTTGTTCCAGTCCCAGCTGCTCTGCTTGTGATCAGCTCCCTGCTAATGCGTCTGGGAAGGCAGCACATGATGACCCCAGTACTGGGTCCCTGCCATTCATGTGGAAGATCTGGATTGAGTTTCTGACTCCTGGCTTTGGCCTGGTCCAGCCCTGCATGTCTTGCTTTATCTCTCTCTCTCTCTCTCTCTCTCTCTCTCTCTCACACACACACACACACACACACACACACTTTGCCTTTTAAATAAATAAATAAATAAAAACCTGAGAGAGTAGAGCACATGGGGGCAGTGTAAAGAGAGAAGGAAATCAGGTTGAGTCCCTGGGGCTTGGGGAAGAGATTTGGGTTTGCAGGATTGCTAAGAGTATGGATTTGGTTAATCCTTCCTCCTACATTTACTCCCATACAGGATTTCTTAGTTTAGTCCTCTGATTTCTTTATACACACACACACACACACACACACAACCCTCTCTGTATCAGTTGTGTGCACAAATGTCTTGCCAGCTACACTATGATTCCCTTTAGGACAGGGCCTCTATTTCATTTATCCTGATTCCTTTGCCCTAACCCAGTACCTAATACATAAAAGATACTTAATAAATCTAAGTATCAAGTATTATAACTAGCCCTAAGACCATGTGTTAGATGATAGTATCCATAGCCAGTATGTTAGTTAAATCACTCCTCAGGGCCGGCGCTGTGTCACAGTGGATAAAGGAGCCACCTGTGGTGCCAGCATCCCATATGGGCGCCAGTTCTAGTCCCAGCTGCTCCACTTCTGATCCAGCTCTCTGCCATGGCCTGGGAGGGCAGTAGAGGATGGTCCAAGTCCTTGTGCCCCTGCACCCTCGTGGGTGAGACCTGGAAGAAGCTCCAGGTTCCTAACTTTGGATTAGCCCAACTCTAGCCATTGTGGCCATTTGGGGAGTGAGCCAGCAGATGGGATCTCTCTCTCTCTCTCTCTCTCTCTCTGCCTCTGCCTCTGCCTCTCTCTAACTCTGCCTTTGAAATAAATAAATCCTTTTTAAAAAATCACTCCTTAGGTCTTCAAAGGAATTGCAAAAAAGTAGTCACTTCTCTGCTGATTTAGCCATTTTCTTAAAAAAAAAAAAAAATAAAGTGCTAATGAGAATTTGTTGTTTCAGGTGATTGATGAGATTTACCGTGTGCTGAGATATGTCAATTCTACCAGAGCCCCTCAACGAGCCCATGAAGTACTACAAGAGTTAAGGGATATTTCCTCCATGGCAATGGAATACTTTGATGAAAAGATTGTTCCAATTCTAAAGAGGAAGTTGCCAGGATCAGATGTGTCTGGAAGACTCATGGGCTCTCCTCCAGGTATCATTTGTTTATAACATATTCACTGTATAATAACACACATAGTTTTGCTACTTTTCTTTTCCTCTTAACCATATTTCTTGAACTTTCCTGCGTCCACAAATATTTACAATGTCTTTTTAATGTTAATACTTTTTTCATGTTTATTCATTTATTTGAAAGGTAGAGAGACAGAGATCTTCTATCTGCTGGAGGATTCCCCAAATGCCAGCAATAGCTGGGGCTGAGCCTGACCAAAGCCAGAAGCCAAGAACTCTATACAGGTCTCCAACGTGGGTGACAGGGACCTAGCCACTTGGGCCATCACTGCTGCTTCCCAGTGTGCAGATTAGCAGGAAGCTGGAACTGAGAGAAGAGCTGGGATGCGAACTTCAGCCCTCCAATAATGGGTTGTGGACACCCTGCGCAGTGGCAAGTGTCTTATCCCTTTTAACTGCCATGCCAAACACCTGCCTGTAACATCATTTTCACTTATAGGTTGGACTATAGACTATGATTTTATTTGATACCCACAACTCTGCCTTTCAAATAAATAAATAAATACTGAAAGAACATTATTGTAGACAAGAGAAACACTGTAAGGCAGTGTTCAATTAAATACCAAATGTAGGGGCCAGTGTTGTTTAGTGGGTTAAGCTGCTGCCTGTGATGCCAGCATCCCAAATCAGAATGTCAGTTCAAGTCCCAGCTGATCTGCTCCAATTCAGCTCTCTGCTAATGGCCTGGGAAGGCAGCAGAAGATACCCCAAGTCCATGGACGCCTGCACCCATGTGGGAGACCCAGATGGAATTCTTGCCTCCTGGTTTTGGCCTGGCCCAGCCCTGACCATTGCGGCCCTTTCAGGAGTAAACTAATCTTTTTTATTTTTAATGCCAGTTGTAGCAGATTCAGAATCTTAAGATCAGTGTTGATTTGTTTGAGATATCAGAAGAGGTAAGACATGATCTAAGCCTTGATATGTAAGTGGAAGTTGGATAAAGATAGGCAGAAGGAAGGAAGAAGGCATCAAGCAAGGAAAATATTATGGTTAGGGAAAACTAGCACCATGGGTTGAGGGTGTGAATGGAGCTATCTCATTCTTTTAGAAAACCTTCGGGAGATAGGGTTTAAAAAATAGGTTCCTCATTTAAAGTAGTGATTTTTTTTTAATGCCTATGTTGCATTCTTATTATTTGTAAAAACAGAATTGTTCCAAAGCCTTCCTATTACTATACTAGAAATGTTTCTTTGGGAGTCAGCATGTGGGTATAGCAGGTTAAGCCACCACTTTTAACACCAGCATCCCATATCAGAGCACTAGTTTAAGCCTCATCTGCTACAATTCCTGTTGGGCTTCCTGCTAATGCGAGTGGAAAGGCAACAGATGATGGCTGAAGTCTTGGGTCCTTACCAAAAGAGACCCAGATGGAGTTCCTAGCTCCTGACTTCAGCCTGGCCCACCCACAACAGGAAGTGAACCAACCTTGGGAAGCTCACTCTGTCTTTCCCTTTCTCTTTGTCACTCTGCCTTTTAAAGAAAAAAATAAATCTTCTGGGGGGGAAAAAAATACTTCCTGATCATCGTGTGTGATGTAAGCTACTCTTGCAGGGATTCTACTTGGCTAAAGTTGAAGTGTGGAGTGAACTTATTCAAAAGTTTGTGTTTTATTATTGAAGAGAAAATAGTTGTTTTCCAATTCTACTTATATTTTCTTACTAGGTCCTAAAAATGTTTTATAATATTTAAACCCATACAACTGTTCAATAATTGACCTGTTTAAACTCTGTCTCCACAGTTCCAGGACCATCTGCAGCCCTAACAACAATGCAGCTCTTCTCTAAGCAAAATCCTTCCAGACAAGAGGTTACCAAACTCCAGCAGCAGGTTAAAACAAACGGCGCTGGTGTGACTGTTCTCAGGCGTGAAATTTCTGAGCTTCGCACCAAAGTGCAAGAACAGCAGAAGCAGCTTCAAGACCAAGACCAGAAACTGCTAGAGCAGACCCAGATCATAGGTGAACAGAATGCACGGCTGGCAGAGCTGGAGCGCAAACTACGAGAAGTAATGGAAAGTGCAGTAGGAAACTCCTCGGGGTCCGGGCAGAATGAGGAGTCTCCTCGGAAACGAAAAAAGGCAGCAGAAGCCATAGACTCTCTTAGGAAATCTAAACGTCTTCGGAATAGAAAGTAAATTGGAACATGGTCCTAGTGCCAGAGGAACATGGGGCTGAGTAGCTTAAGCAGTTATGCATATCAGGACACAGTGAGCAACACGGTGTCCCTTAGGCTCCTGGGCCCTCAGAACACAACTTGAACTCTTAGGGTTGGGACACTCTTTTCCCGCTTCTCCTGGTTGAACTGATGCACAGAATCTTTTTACTTTGCAATAGATTTGTACTAACCAGACCTGTTCTATCATGTTTTGAGGAGTTAACTTTTTTTTCTGTGCAGATAATGTTTGAAGTAAGTTTATTTGTTTCTGCATATATGCACATTACATAAGGATCTTAAACCCAGTCTTGACAGACAAGAAGTTAATACAGAAAATGTCCTGTTCACTTGAAAGAAAAACCTACTTTTTAAATGGACACTATCTTGTTTCAAAAAAAAAAAAAGTTGACTTTTTGTTATAAGTGACCTTTGTCTGGAATGTCTGAAAAGTAGTTCATGCTTTTTGGTATTGAAGTAATGGGTAACTAAAAAGGACTTCCATAGTATTGACTGTAGAAGGAACCTCTACAGTATTGACTATATATTTTTATAAACTACTGGCAAGGGACTTACCCAGTTATTATATACATGTTTTCAGTTCTCTTTCGGGGCCATGTCCTACATTTGCATGGATGGATGCATGCATTGCCTACTCAACTCATTTAAAAAGCTCTTGCACTGGTATTGATCTTGAACCTCTGTACTGCTCCACTTTTTAGAACAGTGTCTTAGTTTATTTAAGGCTTAACATCTTCCACTACAACAGCTTGCCTCTGGAGGGGAGCGGGGATTCTTAGTCCATTTGTCCTCCATTTTTATAATAACAAGAGACTATTAAAGCCCATTGCTTTATCTGTTGTCTGTAAGGTTCAGGTACACTGGCTAATAAGGCAGAACCCCAGATTCCAAGGCTCTTTCTGTCAGACCTCCAGGAGCTGGCACTGAATCTCTCTCTCACTGTCTGCTCATTGATCAAATGTGACTGAGTAAGGGACCCAGCCTGTGGGATTCAGTTTTGCCATTAAAGGAAAGTTCATTGAAGAAAATTGTACCATAAAAAAGCCTTTTGATCATTTCATTTATGAGGGATGACCTGAGGAAAGCTTTTAACATTCATTTCAAGCTTTCCTATTCTATAACTAAACAAAAGCTTTAATTTTGTTTGCACTCCTGTTTTGAGCTTGTAACTGGAAAAGCATGTCTTGCACTGTTCAACACTTCTGAGTGGTCACTTTAACAGCTTCCAAATTGTGTATAGTGGGTTTTTTCCCCCAGTTGTATATTTTTGAGACATCCAGTTGTCACTGTCCTTGTTTTATTTTATGTACTAAGTTATGTAGTTATTTGTTCTTTTAAACAACTGTTGCCTTGGGCTTCAGTTATTTACAGTAAATCTAGGTGTAATATAAAAAACTATCCCTTCCCAGGTGAGTTTGACACCTGTATAAAACCTAAGGTTTTGGTAAGTACCTTAGTTTAGTTGAATAAAAGCACAAGGTTACCACCTTTTTTATCCGTCCAACATGACATGGTTATGAATCCTTTAAATTAATCTCAACAAATGGAACTTTTTCCTATCCATTTTTAATATTGTCCTTTCATAATATTGTCCTTAGATTTTGATCAATTCTATGTCTAACTTTGAAACTCCATTTAACAATGTAGTGTGTTTTCAATGAGAAACCATAAAGTAACATCCAAATGTTTCATGGTTTGTTGGGAAGGTAATTTTAAAATAAACAGTTTCCGAAAAACATTCGTCAGCCCAGGTCATCCATAAAAGTCCCCGTCTGGAACTTGTTTTCTCGGCAGGTCTCATTTCTGTAATCATAGGATTTAGCCATATTATCATATCTTTGGAGGAAGGCCTACTGGAATACTTAGGGCCTTTAATATTCTGCTTTTCTGGAAGATTTTTTTTTTAAATATCAAAGTATGTGTTTACAGGTCAACGAAGTATGATCCTTATGCATCAAAGGGATATTAGCCTTGAGTTATTTCTTTAATAGTTGTCCTTTAAACTACATCTAGCTAGCCTAAATGTATGTATAGTTCCATTAGTTAACGTGAATATAGGATATGGCTTTCATAATGAGCATTCACATCCTGATAAACATTAAAAGGTAGATGTTCTCTTCTAAAATCCAGATTTCTACAGCATACATTTGCAATCTCCTGTCCGTAAGGTTAAGTTGTGCTTGTTAATACAGAAATATTCCATAACAGGAGAAAACACTACAGTTGCTTAAGTGTTAAGATTACATAGACTATCTAGCTAACATGTTAGGATATTGCCTTCACCGTTTATTAGGACAGTTATTTGATAACTGTTAACACTTACTTTTGGATAGTATAGTGATATTTTAGATTCAAAAAATCAGATTATTTGGATCGGCTAAAACTGACACATATTACTGGAAAATTGTAAATTAACATCCTAAGAGAATCATCCTGCCTGGCATTTTATGTCAGAAACGTAAATACTATGTTGTTAATATTGTGTTGTCCTGGTATATCATTTCATGAAGTATTCCCATCAGCTTCCTTGGCTGTTTCTCAATGGTTCGTTCCCACATGTAAATTCATTATGGTACCACACTATCCACATGGGTGAAATGTGAAAGGTATGTAAAAAAATGAAAGAGGACTGACTGGTCCCACCCCTCCGGCCTTCCCTGCTTTTCTCCCACGGGGACTTGGCTCACTTGCTTTTTGAGGTATTGTTTCTCAGACTCCTCTTGATGTAAAGAGTCTGGAAATAAGGGGACAAACAGAGATGTACTCAGACTGTTGTAAAGACTCTTGGGGTGCCATCAGGTCTAAAGCCACTGGTTTTGGAAGCAACTTCTTCGGTTTTGTTTTGGTTGGTTTTTGTTTTTTTGGTTTTTTGGTTTTTGTTTTTTTTTTTTTTTTTTTTTTTGGTAAAGCATGTTTTCTGGAGTACTGAACTTTACAGGGGCTTGCCTTAATCTCTAGTAGTTTCAAGATATATGTGCTACTATACATGTTAAAATGTTGAAATAGTCTATGTAGCCCCAAAGGTGGGTAAAACAGAGTATAAGAAATGCCTAAATAAATAAGCTAAAAGGTGTCACTACAGCTGGATTTTGAGAGAAAATGGACATACAAAAATAGGCTATGTGTAATAAAAATAATGGCACCTTAAGATTGCACTATTTTATGCATTATTTTATATGCCATTTCATAGCCTGCACTTTAATCTCCAAAGAAACAATGTATGATGTCCCAGTTGTTCCTTGTTATTAATACTTTTTTCCTAAGACAGGGCACTTAATTCTATTTTACTATACTGAATTTGTTTCTTGGAGGTGGATTCCTTTTTTGAGTTCTCTGTTTCCTTAGCCATAATATTTTCTAGGATCTGGGAACTCCCTATCTTGTCTATTTCCAACAGTATATAATTTTAATTTAATGTAAATGTAATTTGGTGATCAACACATTCTATCCTGCTCTAGCAATGAGTACCCATTTGTTAGACTTATCCAACTCTTAAAAAATATACGCTGTGAGTAATATTTGAAGCCAGAAGTAAAAGGCACTGTGAAAGGAAGCGTCCTGTACTGTGTGACGCACCTGCTTGGGAAGAGTGGACTCTGATATGAAACCCAGTTTGATATGCTGTCCAATACTTTGTCTTGGAATCTGTCTGAATTCCTTTAGTGCACAGAAGGTTAAGTGAGAACTACTTAAATATAAGCTTTTATGGCCTACCATCTGCTGTAAAATCATTTTTTTTTAAATCTACAAAATGAGAACTAATGATTAGTTGGCTGCTGCTTAACCATGGTCTTTTAATAGCAGTACACTTACTCATGGTGATAATACAACAGGCTTAAGTAATTTTGGCCCTTTGCAGCTTCCTAAGAAACTTGGTTCAATTTCTGGAGTTCAGAGTAAGTCCAGGTTTGTCCTGTTGTGTTCTGAGAGAACCATGTGGTTTAGCAGCATGCTGGTAACCTACTAGGTCCACTGCCATAGTATACTGGTCCATATTCAGAGCTATCCTGAAAGCTTAGAAGTGTTTAAATTCCTTGATGTGGTACCATGTCTGTGCAACAATAAATTACTAGTTTACTTTCTGGAATTAAAATTGTTATAACCTAATCAATGGTTGGAAAGTGAAAAGCACCTCCCGGTCACACAACAGGGTACATAAATAAATGTGTTGTTACCAGTGCTACTTGTTTTCTTTGTATTTCATACACAAAAGAACATAGAACTCTACTGATAGCATATATTAATAGCTGCTGTTCCTTGAAGCTCTGCTGTGCTGTGCTGTGCTGTGCTGTGCTGTGCTGTGCTGTGCTGTGCTGTGATCCACACACGTGTAGTCCTTGCAGCTACCTTCAAAGCTGGCTTTACATGAAGTTGAACTCAGGTTAAGCAGAATGTCCACAGTACTATATAATATGTGACTGAAGTGAGGGTCCCAGCCTACCTGCCTCTGGAGCTTATGAACTTGGCTGCTGTTTCCACATTCTGAAAAGCTGGTAGCAAGAATTGTTAAACTGCTGATTGTTAGAAGCAGTCAGTGTCCAAAACACTGATTTCAGTGTAACCTACAACTTCAGGTAAGAGAAAGCTGAACTTAGAAGAAACAGCTTTGATTCTCTAGTGTTTTTGGCAGTAGGTCCTCTGACACATGGGTAGAACATTTTTTAAGGCCTTCTAGTCAGAGACTACTACAGGGTCTATTGTCACCTTACTGGAATGTGTGAATACACAAGGAATGACCACTGATTCTTCTGCCCTGCCAGGGAAGAAAACTAGTTTTCTTTCAAAATCCCTTCCATCTCCAAAAACTAAATACTCAGAACTTCAATGACATAACACCATATAAATCAATTTTACCTGGTTCCTGAAGATGTAACTGTGATAGGGAGTTGCTGAAAATTAAATTCTCTGAGGAAGAGCAAACTCCTTTGGCAGGAACTTTTACCCTCAGACTGTTGTTTGCATCTGAGATACTCAGAAAAAACATGCCATACGAGATCGTGCTGAATGGCGAAGGTGGCAGCAATGCTGTTGGCTGTCCCTGCACTGTCACTGCAATCTAGTCCGTCCAGATAATAGCCTAGGAGTGTGGCAGCGGCTGCTGTGACATCCCAGTCTTCACAAGGAACAGCAGAGTGGACGTCTGCGTCCATGTTCTCCAGGTGGCTTGGTTGCTGTATAACAGATCACACTGGTAGAAAATCAAGGATTTTTACCTGTATTCTTCTCTTTTTAAAAAAATCATTTATTAGGGCCAGTACTGGTGCAGCTGGTTAAAGCTGCTGCCTGCAGAACCAACATCCCATATGGGATGGTTTGGAGTCCCAGCTGCTCCACTTCAGATCCAGCTCTCTGCTATGGTCTGGGAAAGCAGTAGAAGATGGCCCAAGACTTTGGGCCCCGGTACCCCCGTGGGAGACCCAGAAGAAGCTCCAGGCTCCTGGCTTTGGATCGGCCCAGCTCCGGCCATTGCAGCCATTTGGGGACTCTCTCTGCCTCTGCCTCTAAGTCTGCCTTTCAAAAAATAAATTATTTTTTTTTTATTTTTTATTTTTTTGACAGGCAGAGTGGACAGTGAGAGAGAGAGACAGAGAGAAAGGTCTTCCTTTGCCGTTGGTTCACCCTCCAATGGCCGCCGCGGCTGGCACGCTGTGACCAGCGCACCGCGCTGATCCAATAGCAGGAGCCAGGTACTTATCCTGGTCTCCCATGCGGGTGCAAGGCCCAAGCACTTGGGCCATCCTCCACTGCACTCTGGGCCACAGCAGAGAGCTGGCCTGGAAGAGGGGCAACCAGGACAGAATCCGGCGCCCCGACTGGGACTAGAACCTGGGGTGCTGGTGCCGCAGGCGGAGGATTAGCCTATTGAGCCACGGCGCCGGCCTAAATAAATCTTTTTTTAAAAAGTGAACTTTCCAAGATTCAATACATTTCACTCAGAAATAATTCATCATGAGTTTTTTATTAATACAACAAAATACTCAAGCTGCTTATGAAGGAAAGAAGTTTATTTTGGTTTGTGGTTCTGGAGGTTCACAATCCAAGGTCAGGTGGGTGCCACAGGTTTGGCCTCTGATGAGGACCATGGATGACGATGGTAGACAGCTTGCAGAGGACATCTGGCAATAGCGAACCAGGAGGCAGAGTGGCTCGACCCAACTGAGGCCTTAAAACCAATTGCATCCCAAGGACTACCAACGAGGACACACTCCATGACCAAAGGACCTCCCATTTGGTCCACCTCCCACATTCTAACTGGATTCGGCCTCCACTCAGCACCGTGGATTTGTGACTGGTACCTGAAGTCCCTCATGAGTGGCAACCAACAGCAGCAGTCAACTAAATCGCCGTCAACTCTCAACTTTGCTTCTGTGTTTTTAAGTATTCCCTGCCCCCTTTCCTTTAGCTTGAACTGAGTTTCTAATTAACTGATTTCTGAAGTCTGTGAAGCAGCAATGTAAAAATAATACAATTGGCTCCAGGAAAGCCAGAACTGGGGTGCACCCTTCTGTGCTAAGACAAAGGAAACCCTTCCCTGCCAAGGCCACGCTGGAGATTACCTGGGGGTGGAGGTGAGGGAGGGGACGGCTAAACTACCTGTGCTTCCTTTGCAGGCTTGGGGCAAGTTTTGTGAACACACTCTTGCAATAAAACAGTTTCTATAACCCCCTAAATTGCCATGGCAGCTGCCTGCCATTGCCTTGGAAGAGGACAATGAAGGAATCAACGTAGAAGCCGAGCCCTTACATGGTGCCTTTGATATAGATACTCTCCAGCCGTCTCAGTCTACCTCCCCTGGCCTCAAGTTTAAATGAAGTGGTGCACTTGATCCAGCTGACAAGACGCACAAGTCCACTCACCTGCTCTCTAGATAGTATCCTATTTTTCCCCCCAAGGAAGGGAGTACCTTTACTAAGTTAGAAAACTGGCAAATCAATACAGTACTCTTAAATTTAACAAAATCATATTTTTGATTTAAAGATCTTTATTTATTTGAGAGGTAGAGTTATAGACAGTGAGAGGTAGAGACAGAGAGAAAGGTCTTCCTTCTGTTGGTTCACTCCCCAGATGGCCGCAATAGCCGGAGCTGAGCCGATCTGAAGCCAGGAGCCAGGTGCCTCTTCCCGGTCTCCCATGCGGGTGCAGGGGTCCAAGCACTTGGGCCATCTTCTATGCTTTCCCAGGCCACAGCAGAGAGCCGGATTGGAAGAGCCGGGACTAGAACTGGTGTCCATATGGGACGCTGGCGCCACAGGCGGAGGATTAACCTACTGCACCACGGCGCCGGCCCTGGAGTCATATATTCTTGTAGTGTGAAATTTTCACTCCAAAAATACCATTTAAGTACCAAATCAGAACACTGGTTTTCCAGCAGAGCAAGTTATCTTATACAAATTAATTAAAACTGTACAGTTTCTCCTTTTACAGTTGAATTCTACAGCAGTAGGTGTGTTCGGAAGAGGCGGCTCTGTTTTCTTCTGGGTTGGTCCAATGCTAGGGAGAGTTCCAATGTATGAAAAGCTTCCAGTTCTAGCCGGCGCCGCGGCTCACTAGGCTAATCCTCCGCACACCGGGTTCTAGTCCCGGTCAGGGCGCTGGATTCTGTCCCGGTTGCCCCTCTTCCAGGCCAGCTCTCTGCTGTGGCCAGGGAGTGCAGTGGAGGATGGCCCAAGTGCTTGGGCCCTGCACCCCATGGGAGACCAGGAGAAGTACCTGGCTCCTGCCATCGGATCAGCGTGGTGCGCCGGCCACAGCGCGCCAGCCGCGGCGGCCATTGGAGGGTGAACCAACGGCAAAGGAAGACCTTTCTCTCTGTCTCTCTCTCTCACTGTTCACTCTGCCTGTCAAAAAAAAAAAAAAAAAAAAGAGAGAGAGAGAAGAAGGATGTGTGTGCACACACACAGCTGTATGCATGTGCTCCACGTGCAGCGATACACATCTGGCTTTCGGTCTCAACTCCAGATGCCATTCAAGGAGCTTATGTAATGCATGGGCTAGTAGCAATGGCTTAACTTCAGTTTCTGTTCTAAGTATATTTAAATACACTTACACACACACACACACACACACACACAGAGTACTTAGAAAACAATATTGCTACTCTTTCTTAAAATTTTTTTATTTATTTGAAAGGCAAGGTTACAGAGAGAGAGGGAGAGACAGAGACTTTCCAATTGCTAATTCACTCCCCAAGTGGTTGCAATCGCTGGAACTGGGCCAAGCTGAAGCCCAGAGCTGCTTCCTGGTCTCCCACATGGGTTCAGGGGTCCAAGCATTTGGGCCATCTTCCGCTGCTTTCCCAGGCACGTTAGCAAGGAGCTGGATCAGAAGTGGAGCAGCCAGGACTCCTACAGGCACACATATGGGATGCAGTGCTACAGGTAGTGTCTTTACCAGCTATGCCATAGCACCAGCCCCAATATTGCTACTCTTACAAGCTTTCTAGCCTCCTGGAGAAATTTATTCTGAATCCATCTTAGTTTTGCCATCTCTTAGAATCATAGCATGAAAAAGACTCTGGGAGATGATGTCATATAATTGACAACACTGAAAGTAATTCACAAAAACCATTTTCAGGCCTGGGGTAACTGACTGATCTGTACAAGGACACATGCCTGGACGAAGCAACTCAGAGTCTCATCATCAATCCTTCCTGTAATTCTTGGTTTACTCATCTTGCCTCGGGCTGAGAGGCGTGACAGGAGGGAGACGGGCTGCACCAGGTAGAAAGAACGGGCCTCGCCCAAATTCCCTGCACCTTCACATGCAGCTTAGAGTAAGGGCTGAGCATTTGTGCTCAGGAACCAGAATAAATGGGCTCCTGTGGCCAGGGCTGTGGCGCAACAAGTTAAGGCACTAACAGCCAGGCTGGCGTCTCATATGAGCAATGGCTCAGGTCCCAGCTGTTCCCAGCTCCCTGCTAACACACCTGAGAAGGCAGCAGAAGATTACCAATACTTGGGGTCTTACCACCCACGTGGGAGACCCAGATAGAGTTCTGGGCTCCTGGTTTTGGCCTGGCATAGCCCTGGCTGTTGCAGCCATTTGGAACATGAATGAACGATGGAAGATTGATCTCTCTAATAAATAAAATCTTTAAAAAAAAAAAAAAAGAATAAAGAATCCCAGCTCTACCAGCCATCAGCTTCAATACTTGGTATTCCCGGGGCTCAGTGTCACCGT